CTGGGTCAAATGGTATTTCTAGTTCTAGATCCTTGAGGAATCGCCACACTGTCTTCCACAATGGTTGAACTAGTTTACAGTCCCACCAACAGTATAAAAGTGTTCCTATTTCTCCACATCCTCTCCAGCACCTGTTGTTTCCTGATTTTTTTAATGATCGCCATTCTAACAGGTGTGAGATGGTATCTCATTGTGGTTTTGATTTGCATTTCTCTGATGGTCAGTGATGATGAGCATTTTTTTATGTCCGTTGGCTGCATAAATGTCTTCCTCAAAAAGTGGGTTAAGGATATGAACAGACACTTCTCAAAAGAAGACAAAAATATTTTAAAATTTTTTTTAAAAACTTAAGAAGGAAATAAAAGTGTCACAAGGGAAACAAAATTTCACCTTTTTTCCCTCTGAGTTAATCTCAGATTCAAACACATATAAGGATATGCAATTATCAGTTACGTAAATTCAAGGGAAAGTAATTTGTACTTATAGGTTAGATATGATAGTTAATTCACTTAATTCTACTTGTTTGCTAAAGAAAAAAAAAAAAGGAGGCTGTTAGAAATAATATATCACAGTAAAACCTCCTATCCAACAAGAAGACTGTATTTGGGGAAGTATTTTCATAGACCTAAATTTTGTAGTGGTTCCAATTTATATTTCACCACTTGAGCTTCCCATTAGAAAATGTGTTTCTATGACACGAGTTCCACTTGTATTTTTTCCCCATGGGTTTTCCAGCAGATGTTTACAATCCTTTAGTGATGTTATGACCAAAATTGTATTAGGTAAAAATTCAAATCCCTAAATTTTATGTACTCACCTGCACTAATATTTTTAAGTTGTCATGAAGGAAATATAAGCATTATCCTTGTATCTATTTCTATTCTAATTCTCCTCATGCCATTGGTATTTTATATGTATTCATTGTAAAGATGAATAAACAAATTATAAAAATAAACAAATTATAAGGAAACAATGAAATATCCAAAATAGAATATGTAAGCCAATTAAAAAATCGAAAGTCATAAAATTGTGGAGTATCTTTGAAGGGTTAAGAAATGATAATGGCAAATCT